TGGGCTTATAAAATTCAACACGCAACGTGAACATTTTAGACAAGTCTGGCTTTGTCCCTATGATGAAAGTTATTTAAACAGGGAAATGATTCTTTAAAAGAAATTAATTCTCAAAAGTGTATATTCTTTTTTTTTTTTTAAAGATTTTACTTATTTGACAGACAGAGATCACAAGTAGGCAGAGAGGCAGGCAGAGAGAGAGAGAGGGAAGCAGGCTCCCTGCTGAGCAGAGAGCCCAATGTGGGGCTCGATCCCAGCACCCTGGGATCATGACCCGAGCTGAAAGCAGAGGCTTTAACCCACTGAGCCACCCAGGTGCCCCAAAAGTGTATATGCTTAAAAGTTCAGTGCCCAGGGTGGGGATAGGGAGGAGGAGAAAAATCAGGGATTCTTCAACTTTCGGGAACCTAACTGGGGGGAAAGCAGGATGTGTTGTTCTCAAAAAATTCACAGCTAATTCTGATGTGAGAGATAACCCACATTTTGGGAACCCGTGCTTAGTATTTCCCCTGTTCTAGAGCCCCTCCTGGCCCCAGGACAAGGCTTTGTTTCCTTTCGTGCTCTACCCAAAGCAAGAACTAAACACAAGGCCAAGTCTTCAGGCTGCCTCCATCCCAATTTGCACAGCTCTATCCACAGGGGACTCTGGGGAAAGCCAGGGCTTTGGCTTAGGTGCCAAGTCAATCCCTCCTTTGCCAAGTGCCCCAGCAGCACTCACACCAGCAGACCCATGCTTACCTTCAAGAAAGACAGATCTAGACCCATCTGTTGGTCGCTGACCCACCTGGAGGCTTGCTGTGTACCATTCCATTCATCCTCCCACAACTCTGTTCCACAGGGTGCAGAGAGAGTAGTCTCTTACCCCAGGTGGGTAGGTATGATGGCAAAGAGTCAAAATGACATGTGCCTGACCTCGGTCTCACGTCCTCACAGGGATTCTAGCCTTTTTCATCCATAGATCACACTAGTGTTTGATAAACCCCAAAGGACACCTTCTCTGACTGTTACTAAAGGCATAAAACAGAGGCACCTGCATGGCTTAGTGGGTTAAGCCTCTGTCTTCGGCTCAGGTCATGATCTTGGGGTCCTGAGATCGAGCCCTGCTTTGGGCTTTCTGCTCAGCGGGGAGCCTGCCTACTCCTCTCTCTCTGCCTGCCTCTCTGCCTACTTGTCTCTCTCTCTCTCTCTCTCTGTCAAATAAATAAAATAAAATCTTAAAAAAAAGGCATAAAACAAAATACAGAGGATACAAAGGAAACTAGTTATACTGAAGTGTGTACAACAAGATCTAGCAACAGATCCAAACATTGCTGTAATTTCAAAAGAGATCTGCGACAATTGTAACATGATGTGGAAATATGATGTGAAAAACTGTTCGTGGAAAAGTTTTAGGTACTGTGGTTTTCAGCCTACATTTATAATTGAAGGAAGTGCTAGATTTTAGTTAGAGTTTAGGGGAACTAAATAGGTCCTTTTTTTTTTTTTTTCCATTCAAGTTCACAAACCCTTGAATTCTGTCCACAGACCCTCCAGGTATAAGGATCCAGGTTAGGAATGCCGGGTCCGTTAGGATCTATGCTGCTGTGCGGTCCTTTGGGAAGGTCCTTTTCTGGTTCTGATGTGGGATGTTAACTCCAGAGAGGAGGGAACACTGACTGTCCCAAGGCTTTGGGTTCTGCTTCACTGGTGAAGTCAGACTGCCAGGACAGCTGGTCCCAGGGCTAACGGCTAACAAGCCCTTCTGACCTAGGGCTCATTCTTCGTCCAAACCTCAGAATGCACAAGGGGTGACTGGGAGCTGTTGCAGTGGCCAGCACATGGCTTGCTTGTGCGATACCTGGCTCTTTCACTCCACACATATTTAGTGAGAACCCTACTTTGGATCAGATGTTAGGGAGAGCTGGTCGAGTTCCATCTGGTGGGGAGACAGCCAGGAAGGAGCCTGGCATGGGGGACATGAATTGGTCTTCTTTGACCCATGAGGTAAGGTGGCAAGATTGGAGTCTGGGGTTTCTCAAAAGCTTCCCTCCAGGTTCCCCGCTGGACAAGCCCAGATAAGCAGGAAGGGACAGAGAGACCCCGAAGTCAGTGCCTTCGAGCCTTCGGGTGGGAGTAGTTTGCCTGGAGAACGGAGGCGAGACGGGGACTGGGGAAGTGGCAGCAGCAGCGGAGAGGAGAGAATGGTGAGGGCGCTCAGCCACAGATCCTCCTCCCGAGGTTGAGCTGGGGCCACTGGGGCAGGGAGGGATGGGGGGAAGGCTGAGCCTCTGTGGTCCACAGGCTTATTTATAAGTCAGTTAGTGCACAGACAGAACCATAACAGCCACAGCAGAAAATTATATAACTAGTTTAGAGAGACCTGACAGGTGGCAGTCCCCTGAAAGGCTCCCTGTACCCCAGTGTGGCCCCTGAGCTGTATCAGACAGGAGTTCAACCCGATCTTTGCAAGTGGGGACTGACTCATGAGAACCGGGCCTGTAAGAGGTTCCTGGTGGTCGACCAGAGCCTACTCCTTCCTGGCTCGGTGTTAGGATAATGAGGTGGCAGGTTAGCTGGTGAAGCGGGGAGTTCGACTCAGTGCATGAGAGGGTTGAGGGCGGTTTCATCATCAGGCATATGGATGATCTGTCCCACGGAGCGTACCCCTGGGGCCCTCCAGGCGCCCTTGGCCACCCCCTCCCTTGGTAAGCTGCCTTCTCCAGCTCCGTTAGTGCCACGGCTCCGGCGGCAGCGTCTTTCCCAGTCCATTGCGCCTGAATCCGGTTTCCAATGCCCGTCCTTCCTCCTGGTCCTAGGATGCGTGCCACAGTGAGGCCTCGGGTGCCTTCTGCCGCAGGACAGGCTTCATGGCACAGGCCTGCCGTCAACACTGGTCACACTGCCCATGCAGCCCCGCAGGTGACGAGCCGGTGTCACGCAGGAAAGGCCCATTTAAGGAACATGTTTTAAAAAAAGCTTCATCTGAGACAGTCTCTCAGGGAAAAACAGATCGAGCTGTAGCACTACTTCCCTCTTTACAGTCCAAAAAGGCTTCTCGAAAAAGACCAGGGATTCAGAGGACTTGTGAATGAATTAGGGTCTTTCTGTGAGTTGCTCAGTTTCTCCGAGTCCCAGTGTCCCCTGTGAAATGGGTGGAATCATGCTAGTCTGCGGCGTCCCTGTAGGACTTAGAGACCCTGGAGGTGCCCACAATCGAATTGATCGTTAAGTGACAGCAGCTGTGCTGGGCGGTGTTTCTGAAAATTCATTTTCTTGGCAGTCTGCTTGGAATGCCCGAACTGTCTTAATTCCCATCTTCCAGCAGCTTTGACAAGTCCAGACATGTCCTTTTAGATTTTGCGTTCCCTTTCTGTTAACAGAAAGCAAGCCATCTAACAATACTTTAATAGAAAGTATTGTTTCACGGTGTAAGTTTTCCCACATTAACTGTTCATGGTTGAACTGAATTTTTTAAAATTCTAATTGTTTTCTTCCATTAAGAGACGTGGAGAACAAGAGAAAGATAATTCTGTTGTTTGAGAGGCCCCTAGGTGGCTCAGTGGTCAAGCATCTGCCTTCGGCTCAGGTCATGATCCCGGGATCCTGGGATCGAGCCCCACGTGGGGTTCTTGCTCTGGGAGGAGCCTGCTTCTCCCCTGCCTGCCGCTCCCCCTGCTTGTGCTCCTGCTCACTCCCTCTCTCTGTCAAATAAATAAATAAAATCTTTTTTTTTTTAATTCTGTGTTTGAAATTCAGGACACATGTTCCGTGTGGTTCAGGTGGGGAGTGTCCCAGGCTGCCCACTGGCTTAAGACTCAGATTCTACAACAGGCAGCTCAAATTTTAGTGCCCACGAATCACCTCAGGATCTTGTTAAAGTGCTGAAACAAATTCGGTGGGTAGAAAGAGGGGCTGAGATTTGACATTTCTAAGGGCTCGGGGTGACGCCCCTGCTGCTGACCCAGGACCACACTTGAGGAGCCGGGACTGGGTGGGAGGAGCCCAGATTACTTGGGGGTGAGAGCGCCTGGCCCTACACCGGTCCTGGGACCCAGGGATGGGACCCTGAAAACAGAGCGGGGAGGAGGATTCATGACTGGAGGAAGTGCTGGGAAGCTTCCTCGTCCCGTGGGTTCTTCAGCCCCTGATGTTTGCCAGGCTGTCCCCTTCCCACTGCCACGGGCCGGGTTTTCCCTGCACTCTCCCAGCCTGCCACCATCTGGCTTCCCCTTGTTCCCAGAGCTGTCACACTATTCAGAAAGCCTTTCTAATGAAGTGTATTTCTAGTAAACAGCTTGGGACTCTGAAGTCTGGACCTTGTCTCTTTTTCCCCCCCTTTTAAAAAACTTCGTTCCTATATGGAAATGCCCAGTAGCACAAAGATGGCATCTGGCCCCCTTGCCCATCTTACCTGCCTGCCTTACCTTATTCCTGCCTTCTTTCCCTGGAGGACTGTGAGAACTTTGAGGGCAAGACCAGAAAAATATTCGTTTTTGCGTGCCTACAGTTCGTGCCAAGTCCCAGGCGAATGCCAGGCATTTGCAAGAAGAAAACCACCTTCCAGCTGGGTGTTGTTTCCCAGATCTGCTCCGGTGGGTAAGGGAATTGAGCAGTGTGAGGCACCAATTTTGCTTCCAATATCTTAAGGCATTTGGGCTCAGAAACCTCCCCTACTAGGGTCCTTCCAGAAGAGTCACATCTTAGCAATGTCGTAAAGATGATTACACCCCTTGGGGGCGCCTGGGTGGCTCAGTCGGTTAAGCGTTGGACTCTTGGTTTTGGCTCATGGTTATGATTTCCAGGTCCTAGATCGAGTCCGGTGATGGGCTCTGCACTCAGCACGGAGTCTGCTTGAGATTCTCTTCCTCTGCCCCACCCCAACCCCCTCTCTCGAAAAAAAATCTAATCTTCGTGAATAGCTGTCTCTTTGGTGGGAAGGAGGGAAGGAAGATTAGAACAAAGTATTACTAAAAAGTCTAATCCATGACCAAGTTTTGTTTGTTTTTGCTTTGTTTTTACAGAGTGACCAGCAAGACTGTTGAACGTGTAGCTGTCCAAGATGCCCGTCCCTCCCCCTCCAGCACCCCCGCCCCCGCCGACATTTGCTCTGGTGAGTGGCCCCTTGACGACCCCGAATGGTGCACGAAGCAGCCCAGATGAAGTTGAACCTGGGCGCCCATGCATTTGTTTTGCATGTATTTGCATTATGGCATGAAAACCGTGGGGCAGGTTTTCCCGCTGCAAGTAAGCCAGCCCCTGAGACCCGGGGGGCCTGTTGTCAGAGGTCTCAGGCGGTACAGAGGACATGTGTGGGGTGCGCGTTCGTGGGGTTTCCTCTGTCAGGTCCATCAGGGAAACATCCTGTCCCTTCCCAGTACTGGGGTTCTGCCTGGCATGCTCTGTTGCCGTTCAATGGACTTGACTTCTACCCTTTAACTTCTGGACAGAACAGTCCAGAAACCCTGGTCTATGTATGAAATGCAATCATTCACGCTCCTGCAGACTCACTCTTTCTTTTTCTATGACTTTCCCTTCTTTCCCTCTTCCCTCCTTCCCTTCTTCCCGCTCCTCTTTTTGGCAAATACCATCCACTACTCCCTCACTCCCACTTCCCCCACACTCACATCCTTCTTTAAATCTGTCCTTGCAGGGGCACCTGGGTGGTGCGGACTGGTAAGTTTCCAACTCTTGGTTTCAGCTCAGGTTGTGATCTCAGGGTCATGAGATTGAGCCCCAGATAGGGCTCGTGCTCATGTGGAGTCTGCTTGAGATTCTCTCCCTTTCCCTCTGCCCCTCCTGCTCGTTCTCTCTCTCTCTCTCTTTCTCTCAAATAAATAAATAAATCTTTAAATCTGTCCTTACATTTAGATGTCTACTTCCCAAAGGAATTTCTTCACTGGGCTCCTCCTGGTCTCTTGATAGACCTATCCTCAGAAATTAGTGTACCTTCTTACAGGAAGCCAGCAGCCCTCCCCATGGTGACACAGAAAAGGCTCCCAGATGCACCCCCTTGCCCCATTACCTCCCTCAGCATGAGAAGGCTTCACTGCTGATGGGTCCTTTTCACTTGGGGAAACTGAGGCTCAGAGACAAAAAGTCTCTTGCTCAGGCTTCCACAGGACACATTTATGTAGCCCATCTGAGGTCGGAACCCAGTTAGAAGAACAGACAATTAACCAGCTTGTTGCTACCCAGTGTGGTCCTCCAGCTGCTGCTTAGCGGCCCCAAGGAGACAGGTACAGAAAGAATAAGCATTAAGAAACACAGCAATTTGACAGTAGTGTTATGTCTGTTGTTTCCAAGATTGTATTTCGTGGGTCTCTTTTTTAAGTAATTCATTATTCTTTTTAAAAATATTTACTTACTGGGGCGCCTGGGTGGCTCAGTGGGTTAAAGCCTCTGCCTTCGGCTCAGGTCATGATCCCAGGGTCCTGGGATCGAGCCCCGCATCAGGCTCTCTGCTCAGTGGGGAGCCTGCTTCCTCCTTTCTCTCTGCCTGCCTCTCTGCCTACTTGTGATCTCTGTCAAATAAATAAATAAAATCTTTAAAAATATATATATTTACTTACTTATGTATTTTTAGAGAAAGAGCGAGAGTGTACATGTGTGAGCAGGAAGGGGGAGGGGCAGAGGGAGAGGGAGAGAGGGAATCTTCAGCAGACTCCTTGCCTAGCTGGGAGCCTGACATGGGCCTCGATCTCACAACCCTGAGATCATAACCTGAGCTGAAATCAACAGTCAGATGCTTAAGTGATTGAGTCACCCAGGTTCCCCCTAATTCATTTTTCTAATAATTAATTGTGATTTTACAGAAGTATCAGTCCAAGGTGAACTGGGAAAAAAAAATTTGAAACTGATCCTTCACTCAGATAAGTTTGAAAAATCCTGATCCAGGGACTTTTGGGTGGCTTAGTGGGTTAAGCCTCTGCCTTCAGCTCAGGTCACGATCTCAGGGTCCTGGGATTAAGCCTCACATCAGGCTCCCTGCTCAATGGGGAGTCTGCTTCTCCCTCTCTCACTGCCCCTCCCCTCACGCATACTCTCACTCTCTCTCAAATAAATGAAATCTAAAAAAAAAAAAAAAAAAGAAAGAAAAGTTCTGATCGAGCTAACATAGCAGGATTTATTTATCTCTATTTCCCCAAAAGTGTGGTTTTATACCACTAGCTAGGTAGTATGTGGATTTTTTTTTAATTTTAATGCTCATGTACTTATTTTAATATGTTCTAAAATTTATAACTATTACATTAAACTAAGGGTTTAATGGTGAGTTAATTTAAAAGAAAATATTCACTGAAAAATTGTATAAATAATATGGTGAACTGACTTAATGAAAAATATTAAATAAATAGTAAGACAGAGAGCTGAGAAGACATTCAGGTGGTACTGCAGTGACTGGAATTTATCCCATCAACACATTTCTATACTTTATTTATTTATTTATTCATTTCTATCCATTTTTATGTGACCTAAAGCAAGATTCTAGAGAAGTAGGGTACAGAGATGAGCCAAGGGGAAGGTGGGTTGGTGGCTGTCGCATGGCACTGTCTGGTGGGACAGCTCAGTGAAGGGCTCCGGACTGCCCACCGGAGAGAAATTCGCACCCAAGGAGGTCAGGCACCAAAAGACACTTGGAGGCATCACGGGAGGCCGGTGAAAATTGTTTCATCTTTAAAGAAGACAGTAGGTGATCTTAAGAGTTCACCCCAAGATGTCCAAGATGTGTCATCAAGTTGAAAAACTAAGTTTCAGAGCAACAGAGGATGACTCCATTAGCACACGGGGGCTGTGCATGTAAGAGCCCTTCTGGAACGATCAGAAGCTGATATTCACAGGCTCGCTCAGGGCAGTGTCACAGGCGGGTGGGGAAGGGGCATTTTGTTACTTTTCTTAACTGAGGTATAATTGACATTTAGGGTGGTGGAAGTTTAAGTCCTACAACATGTTGATTTGCTACATTTTTATATTTAATGTAATTACCACCTGAGCTTAGCTAACACCTCTTTCACATCACGCAATTATCATTCCTTTTTCCTGGTGAGAACATCAAAGACCCAGTCTCTTAGCAGCTTTGAAGTTTATAATACAATATTGTTGACTCTCATCACCATGCTGTACTCGTCCAGGACTGGCTCGTCTTCTGGTTGTGAGATTTACCTTTAACAGCCGCTCCCTAGTGTGGGCAAGGGGCATGTTAGATCCCACGTTTCCCCTTCTGCAAGTTACAGGGGAGGCTCTGGAATCACACTGCCGGGGTTTGGATCCTAGGGTCCTCCTCTAACTATCTCGGTGACCGGGGCAAATGATTTTACCTCCCTGTGCCTCTGCTCTCTTGTCTCTAGAATGGAAATAATGACTCACAGGGCTGATGAGGACTAAATGAATTAATACACGTAAATGAGGTAAAAGCAGTGCCTGGCCCATAGTAAACGCTTTATAAAATGTTAACTGCTGTTATTATGAGCAAGTAATACCTTGGAGTCATCCTCTGTTGCTCTGTTCCAGGACCCTTTCACCTTAACAGAGAGCTTCTGTGTATCCTGCTTCAGGGTTTTTCTTAGCTTTCCCTCTGCCTTTAGCTCGTAATAAATGGCTGGGTGAGGTAGCAAGCTAACCGGTTCCATCTTTACCTCCTACGCCCCCCACCGGCTCCTCTGGAATCAGATCCTTCCAAAAGGGCTAGGACCAGCCTGAAAGGCCTCTGAGGGCTGCTGGAAGGACCACTGGGTTTGGGGAAGTCACCTCTGCCTAGGGCCAGGCCAGACCAAGCCAGTTTCCCCAGTGACAGACCCAGGCACATGCCTACTACTTCCGAGTCCCGTGCTCTAGGCTCTCAGTGTCCCTGCTCCCTAAAATAACCCTGAGGAAGCAACATCCCGGTTTCATAGTACGGATCTTTCCCAGGCATTCCAGAAAAGTGAGAAAATACCTAAGCATTTTAAAGCAACACCTTTGTCCACTCTGCAATCTCTGTGAGCTAAGCTTTCAAAGGAATTCTATGTGAGAAACATCTTAGGCAAGGGCATGAGGGAACTTCGGGGGCTTATGGACGTGTTCTAGATCTTGAATGTGGTGGTGGTCTCATGACTGTATCCTTTTCAAAACCTGTAGAACTATACACTAAAGTAGTGACTTGATTATTATGGAAATTACACCTCAAATCTGCCCTAACTTAAAAAGAAAAAAATCTTTGTCTATGTAAACAGAGGGAATTATTTTCTAAAACTTGGGTGAATTTAAAACACATGCAACTGACCCTTTTTGCTAGAGACAATTTTCCCCTTGCTCCAGGTTAGCTCTAAAAGATAGGAGAGAGAAGCTGTTCTTCAGGACACATTCTGGAGTATGAAGCCTTGTAGTATCTAGCAGAATCTCAAAATTCTCTTCTCGTTTTGAGCCATCCAACCCTGGCTCTTTTGATGACCACCAGATTGTGGTCTGAATTTTTAGAGACTTTTATCAGGGACTGACTCTTCCTGCATTAAAAATGAATGTAATTTATTGCTTCAGCTGTTCCCAAATGTCTGGGTCTTAAAAAGAATGACATCGGATCTAAAACTTGTGGAGAATTTACAACCATTGCCAAGAACCTCAGTAACAAGCTTGCAGTACTCTAGCTGTCCCCTCTGAGTGTTGTAGTATATGATTTTAATTCAAGAGATGACTATAAGTCTGCATGGTTTCCTTCCAGGCCAATACGGAAAAGCCTACCCTGAATAAGTCAGAACAGGCTGGGAGAAATGCTCTTCTCTCTGACATCAGCAAAGGGAAGAAACTGAAGAAGACAGTCACCAATGACAGGAGTGCGCCGATATTGGACAGTAAGTGAAAAAACTGTTTTCCATGGAGATAAGTGATTTATGGCCTAACAATCAGCCCTACCCTTCCAAAAAGTGGTTGTTGTTGTTTTCTTTTTCTTTTTCTTTTTTTTTTTTTGTTAACAACAGCTGCAAAGCTAGCAAAATAAGGGACTGTATCACTCATTGTGGCCACAGCTCCGGCTTGGGTTCCCTCTAATGCTGCAGGAAGTCAGTATAATAATTCTTTGTCCAAGACACACACAGCAGTGATTCTCTGAATTATTCACCACACTTTCTGGAAGTTAACCCGTTACTCTTTGCACCACAGATCAAAAGGCTGCATGAAATATGGAAAGAGCCCCAGCCTTGGAATCAACAGGTGTAGGTTCGAGTTCTGGCACATCCATCACTTAACCATCTCCACACCTTATTGTTTTCAGTTGTAAAATGGAGATAATGGCTGTTCTGCTGTCCTCACAGTTTGCTGTGAGCAGCAGACGAGACAATGCAAAAGTGTTCTGTGGGCTGGGATGTATCATTCAAGTGTAAGATATGATTTTCAGGAGCTGGGAGAGAGAGAGGAAATGAGATCACAACTTTGCTTATCTACCCATCGTAAGTCTGAGGAACTTTCTAGAACAAGCCAGGGGATGTAAAAACAAGCAGGTACCCACAACACAGAACTCCTGTTAACATTTACCACAGAATGAAAACATATCCATGACTTGAATCTACTGGTAGTTAATAACTAGGCCTTGAAACTGTCTCCACACATTCCTAGACCCTTCCACTGCCGGCTACCCATATCCTACACCCAGATCCCATTTGGACTCAACAGGAAATAGACTGACTTTCCAAAAATCACCACAGGGAGCTTTGTAGATGGTGACCAGTGGATGCAGGATTTTAGCCAAGTCGAGGAGTAGAAGTGTTTAGGAAGAATTTCTAGGAAAAGCGCCTAATGAGTAGAGAAGAAAGAAGGCTCAGAGTTAGGTGAGAACATTAGTATGGGAGGAAAATGGAAAAGAGGAAGACCAAGACAAAGGCTTTTGCACATTGCTCTGCTGTGTCAGGTTGTGTGTTGCAGGAGAGAGAGTACACCATTCTCCAGAAGAAACTATGGGGACTTTTAACCTTGACTGGACACAGTTACCACTTAGTCAAAATGTCCACGAGGGGCGCTGGGTGGCTCAGTCGTTAGGCATCTGCCTTGGGTTCAGGTCATGGTCCCAGGGTCCTGGGATGGAGCCCCGCATTGGGCCCCTTGCTTAGCGGGGAGCCTGCTTCCCCTCCTCCTCTCCCCCTGCTTATGTTCCTTCTCTTGCTCTCTCTCTCTCTCATCAAAAATTTTTTTAAAAAGCTTATGAAACTGATCGGGTTATTTTATAATCCCTTAATCCTCCTGATTGGTGTCACAAAATGCTCCCTGAAGGGAACCCAGCACCACTTACCTCTGGGGAGCCTTGGTCCAAAGTTGTCTGAGTCCCAGTGCAAGGTATGGGGCCAGAGGCGCTCTGCACACTGCTGACGTCGGGGACACAGCTCAGTCGTTCTTTCCGCTAGGAGGGGGAGCCAGGGGCTCGAGAGAGGTAGATGTGAATTCCCCACTGATACTGAAGAACACTGGACAGTCTGTGGCCTATTCCTGAATCCACTATTAGAAACTCACTGTATTCTTCAAGGTCCCCTTCTCCTGCCATTCAATGGAAAGAAATGTTAGCTCTTCTCCTTTCCAGCGGTTCAGTGATATTTATGAACGCTCTTTGCTTCATGGACACAAGATGCAAGCCAGCTCATGCCCTGTTGTCCGTGCACTTAGCGGACACTGGTACCGTGGTCATGGGCTCTGTAAGTGGCACGGTCCACCCATAGCTTTATATTTGTTTGCAGCTGAAGCCTGCCTGGTTCTATGTCAAAATGTTGACTGTGGTTATGTGGGATAAAGCTCTTATTTCAGCCTCGTCCTGCAGTGTGATTCCTAAGGAAGTGACCAGGAGCCAGTAAGCATTCATCAACTACTTTAGCTTTTCTCTCTGAAAGATGCTCCAAAGGTCCGGGTTAAGAACACTGATGAATGATGTCTGATAGTGCATCAGTCTCTTTGAATGTCCGCTGCCATGTAAAGGTATCCTCTTTAAATGCAGCATTCCAAAATGTATCGTTAATTAATGAGTAATATTTGAGTGTCAAGAGCATATTATTATTATCGGTAATAATTAAAATTAGTAAAAAAAAATTGTAATTTCGTAACAGGAGCCATTTTGCATATACTTCTGGAAATTGTTATTGTAATTTGATTTGTTAGGTGAGGTGATCCTTGTCAGTTCATGATCAGGTTATTTCTTCTATCAGCAGATTTCCCAAAGGTATCCCAGAAAGCTCCACCCCTAAAAAAAGTGCAGAGCTAACACAGGCTTAGGATCAGTCTAATCGAGAAGAAAAGAAAACACAAATGAATAAAAGTAAGACTCAGCATAGATTAGTGAGAGATTTAATGCAGGTTTTTTCAAAATTAAGGATACTGTGATGCATTTATATGCTAAAACATGTTAAAATCTTAAAGAAATTAATGTTTTACAAAAAGCATAAATTTACCAAAATTCACTCACGAGGCTTCAACGAGCAAGGCGAAGTTGAACACTTTTTCTAGCTTTCTCTCTAAAAAGCTTTAGAGCCAGATGACTTTATCAGTGAATTCTTCCAGATTTTAAGAAACAGCTTATTCAAAGGCTATACAAATCATTCCCAAACATAGGAAGAGAGGAAAAGCTATCTGATTGATATAATGGGATTCACATGGTCCTAACCTCAAACTTGACCTAGGCAGCACAAACACAAAAAGAAAGCTATCTATCAGTGTCCCAGGGTACCTGTGGCAATGTCTGGAGGCATTTTTATTTGTCACAACTTAGCCAAGGTGGGGTTCCTACTGACATCTAGTGGGTGAAGGCCAGGCATGCTGGAAACATTCTACAGAGAACAAGACAACCACCCACAAAGAACTATCTGCCCTAAAGTGCCAGTAGTTCCCGGGTTAAAGGCGTGCTCATTAAAAGCAAACTATGGTTGCCTGTAGCAATATTAATAATTTATATCATATGGAAGTTCAGTCATCAAAGTAATTACTTATATAAACTAGAACAAAGATAAGATACAAGAGGAAGCAAAACCTTTATTATTTGGAGACCATATGTCTAGTAGAAAATCCAAGGTAATAATTTTTAAATAAATTTTAATTTAGAAAATATTAGCAGAATGGTTTATTAGATGTCAAATGAAATTTTCTTTCTTTTAAGGATTTTTTAAAATTTATTTGACAGAGTGAGAGAGATCACAAGTAGGCAGAACAGCAGGCAGAGAGAGATGAGGAAGCCGGCTCCCTGCTGAGCAGAGAGCCCGATGTGGGGCTCCATCCCAGGACCCTGAGATCATGACCTGAGCTGAAGGCAGAGGCTTAACCCACTGAGCCACCCAGGTGCCCCGAAATTTTCTGATGCCAATGATAACCAATTACAAAAGGGGGCAAACACCCCTTTCACAGTTTCAACAAACAAAAATGTATCAAAGTAACCTTAACAAGAAGCATATGTGACCCATATCAGGAAAAATTATAAAACTTGACTGAATGTAGCAGAAGACATGGGAGAGTATACCATGTTTCCATATAGTCTAAATATCATAAAAGTGTCAGTCCTCCCTTATTGATTTGTAGATTTCATACTGCCTGTCAAAGACTCTAGAAGGTTTTCCAGGGATAAAACTTTAAACAATGTTAAACCTTATAAATACAAACATACATACATATATACATCATAAATTGTATGAGACACTTCTTTAAATTTTTTTTTAAGATTTTATTTATTTATTTGACAGACAGAGATTACAAGTAGGCAGAGAGACAGGCAGAGAGAAAGGAAGAAGCAGGCTCCCTGCTGAGCAAAGAGCCCGATGTGGGGCTCGATCCCAGGACTCTGAGATCATGAACCCGATGTGGGGCTCGATTGTAGGACTCTGAGATCATGACCTGAGCGGAAGGCAGAGGCTTTAACCCACTGAGCCACCCAGGCGCCCCGAGACACTTCTTTAAAAAGGGTTATAGTCATGGCTCTCATATAGATATAAAACAAACATATGTCAAATATTTTATTTAAGTCATTAACTACTGAGGGAAGTAGTATACTGTTACCAGTGCAAAGGAGAGTTCAAAGTACCACACACATCAGAACTGAAATGAATTTACAGATAGGTAAACCTGTGTGAAGTCAATTGCATGCCGCTGAACACTATTTTACATTTCTGTGGACAATTATTATCAGGTTTCTGCAACTTACAGAGTTGTAAAATATGTCATAGACAAGGGAAATAACCCGAAAGGCTAGACAGGATACTTAGTAATCTTCTTTTTACTTTCTTTTTCTTTCTTTTTTTTCTTTCTTTACATTGTTGTCTATTTACCCATTTCAGGATCCTCCACAGGCTTGGGGAAGTAAATACAAAATAAAACAAATAAATAAATATAAATAAAAATAAATATAAATAAATAAATAATAAATAAATATATATTATATATAAATATATGAATATATAAATATATATAAAATATATAAATATATAAAATATATTTAAAATACATATAAATATAAATAAATAAATAAATATAAATAAAAGAAAATCTTTGTACCATCTTCAACTGCAGGGAGTTTTTTAAAATGTTTAAGCCTACTGTTGGGCTTTATGCTATTAGAAAATTGAAATCAAACCATGAGGTCTTCAAATAAATAGATGGTCAAAAGAACCACAATATATGCATGCCCTAAAACACAATGTGGTCCCTTAAACTTGTGTTTTCAAAGAGTATTTGATGACATGGGAATGCTAACAATAAAGTGTTAAGTGAAAAGAGCAGGCTAAAAGCTGTTTAGTGAATTTGGTCTTAATTCTGAGAAAAAAAAATATAAAATGAAAAAGTACTAGCAGGAAAAAATACACCAAAGGTGTATAAATTCCCAAAATTACGGGATATTTTATTTTCTTCCCTTTACTTTTACGATTCTCCTTTTTACCACCTTTTATTATATCTCCCCCTCCTTTGGGACTTGCTTTCTTTGAAGATTCTTTTATTTGCCAAATCTTAGGATACAGGTAATAACTCATACAGCAGCTAGCCAAGCAGGGAGCATGGGGGCAAGGCATCATCTATCACTAATTCTCCTGCTCTGGGGCCTGGGACCGCCCTGGAGTGAAAAGCAAAACCCCTCCTTTTCTGACCAGGGGTAGGGTGAATTGTTAAAATACTGCTTTTTCATGAAATCCCAGGAGTCCCGCACAGGCCCAGTTGGAGCCAGCTCCCTGTTTGACCCGCATTGTTTATTGTGTACAGCTCAGGCTGTACTCTGGTGCTGTTTTCATACACAGTGAAGAGAGTGTTTCCTTCCTTCTGCAGAACCTAAAGGAGCCGGTGCTGGTGGCGGTGGTGGCGGTGGTGGCTTCGGTGGCGGCGGCGGCAGTTTTGGAGGAGGTGCCCCACCTGGCTTGGGAGGACTGTTTCAGGCTGGGATGCCGAAGCTGAGATCCACAGCCAACAGGGATGGTGGTAAGGAGAGTTTCTTTGTCTCTTAGCAACAAGGTGAGGCCAAGTTTCATGGTTTGGAGGCTTGGCATCCCCTCTAAGGCACTGTGCCCTTTAAAACATTTTAGATCGCTTGAAATGTAACATTGTTTTACAAGAAAGACTCTATTTAGCATCTTTTTTTTTTTTTTTTCCCTTAAATCAAAATCAGACCACTCCATGGAGCTGTTAAATATTTGCCCTGTGTCCTTAGGGTAACTTGTACTTTTTTGTACTTTTCTAAAGGGTGAACTAGAGTGGGAAGGAAAAGGAGGAGCAAATGGAACTGGCCACTGCTGGAAGGTCTGCCTGGTGACCTGGCAAATTCACCTTTTCTTTGTGAGGCAGCCTGACCCAGCTGTCTAGTATGGAAAATACCTGTGAGCCACTTTCCAAAACACTGTGGAGCGTGTTATACGGAATGTAATTACATGTCTCACTAAATCTAGAAAGGTGTTTTGCATGACAGACATCTGGCATTTGAGGGCCAGTGATTCTAAATATTGTCTGCACAGACACGTGCAAAGGAGTCCCATGGGATTGTCTTGAACCTAATGGCAGAGAGAAAAATGGAACCTGGTCATGCCCAAATAAAAAACCTTACAAAGTACATGAGGCTCAATAAGTTTTACCATAAAACTTTTGGTATTAATGTTTGTTGTGTTAGAAGACTTTTATTTCTAATTCTGCGATCGTTTCGTATGTCTCCTGGGAAAGTGTGAAATTCTCATGATCGTATAAAGACAAAACCACTGAATCCTCATGGTTAGCTGACTATTTAGTGTTGGATGGTCAAAATTTAGAAAGATACTTAATATGAGAGATTCTGTCTTGCCAGACCTACATTCACATTTAAATTTACTTACTTAAGGGGCGCCTGGGTGGCTCAGTGAGTTAAGGCCTCTGCCTTTGGCTCAGGTCATGGTCCCAGGGTCCTGGGATCGAGCCCCACATCGGGCTCTCTGCTCAGCAGGGAGCCTGCTTCCCCCCCCCCACCCCTGCCTGCCTCTCTGCCTACTTGTGATCTCTGTCTGTCAAATAAATAAATAAAATCTTAAAAAAAAGACTTAAAAAAAATAAAATAAATTTACTTACTTAAAACCCACCAGAAGGACTGAGGCAGCTGACAAATGCAGACATTCAGTGCTTTAACAACAGGTGAAGAAATTAAGGCAAAAGACAACTGGAAATAAATTCATAACGTGAAGAAGGAATTATGTTCGTGCACAAAGTGGTGTACCAGATGTACACATCAGCCTAGTGTACCGTCCACATAGTGAACAGTCCGTGTGATGTACACATGGCGAATAACCCAGCTTCAATCCGATACAATTTATCACAGGTTGGTGACCTAGAAATATACCACACAGTCAAGGGAAACACACCTTTCTTCTAGTACTGAAGTTGAAATAAATTCTCTCTAGAGTTCATGTTACTCCACTGTATGAATCCATCCAAATGTCTCTCATTGTGCCTTGGGTGAAATCTGAAGTCCTCTGGGGGCGCCTGGGGTGGCTCAGTCCTTTAAGTGTCTGCCTTTGGCTCAAGTCATGATCCCAGAGTCCTGGCTCCTGTCTCAGCTGGAAGTCTGCTTCTCCCTCTTTCTTTGCTCCTTCCCCTGTCCCCCACCATGTTCTCTCTCTCTCTCACACGCTCTTTCTCTCAAATAAAGAAATAAATAAATAGTCTTTAAAAAAAAAAAAAGTCTGAAGTCCTCTGCTTTATAAGGGTCCTTATGACCTGGCCCTTGCTGGCCACTCAGGGTCCACTTGCTAGCTTTTCCAGCTCACCATGCCAGGCACACAGACCTCGGTTTTTCAACCTGAAGCTCATTCCCACTCCAGGGCCTTTGCACCTGCTGGCCCTCTGCTTAAAGCACCTTCTTCCCTATCTTCCTATGGCTGGCCTCAGCTCAAATGTCATTTCTTCAGAAAAGCCATCCTCAGCCAGCCACCCCATCTATCTGGTCTCCCCATCACAACCTATTTCAGTTTCTTTTTAGTACTTACAACTATCTGCAAATGTTTATAAGTTTGCTGGTTTATTATTTATCTCTCCCACAAGAATGTAAGCCACAGGAGAGCAGGATTTCTTTCTTATTTTGTATATTCTTCTGGAGTTAGCATCTAGAATAATGGCTGGTATACAGCTGGTACTCAATTAATATTTGGTATGGAATTAATTAACTCACAGTTGAAGTGGTAGAAGTTTCCAGGGTCACCATTTTTTGAGAATTACCTTAGGTTCCAAGAGATTCTGGGGTGGTGATTTGAATTTTTCCATAACTTTGGTTCCTTCTGTTGAACCAAAGCAGTTTAATATTAATTACATAATAGGGTTGTTCTGTCCGGCCACTGTTGACGTGGAAGGTGATTCAGTGAGGAAAAGAACTTGTGTAGTTTGCCTGCTTCTTTGCAGATGAAGACCAACCACCGGTGTCAAGTCTTTCAATCAAACTCTGACCATTTCTTTTTCCTTTGTTAGTTCTTTCTTATTTCGGTTAACGATTCTTCCATGACATTTTTCCACCTTCTCTTGGGAAATTTATTCAAAGGGACTGGGTAAGCCCTCCCCAATGGAGATTTACCTTGAGATAACTAATTTTTCACCTAACATGGCTATGTTATTTTTTCGAACCTGAGAGGTACAGCAGGAGGACAGGGATGTTTGATAGGGAGGAAAGAAAATCATTAGCAGAAATCCCACGTGCCAACACCATCCTGTCCTTTTCTGATGAATGGGGAGCTCTCCCGAACCACTGACAACTTAATCGTGGTTCTTGTCCACACCTAATGCCAACAGGGCTCTCCGGCATTTTTTTGCCAGCTGACAGGTTGTAGGACCTGGAACTAGCAGGTGCACAGGGATCTGTGATCTGTTCTTCTGTCCCCCGGAAGAACCACCAGAACCTGATTTATATAAATAATAGCTATATACTTTAGAGCATCTAGGAAAGGACTTCCATCCAGTAGCTGAGAATATACTCTAGTTCTCTGATTCCTTTGAGAGGGGGTCCTAATTTTCTAACTGGATTTTTTTTTCCTGTTCTTCAGATTCTGGAGGAAGCCGACCCCCGATTTTGCCACCAGGAGGAAGAGCCACATCTGCTAAGCCTTTCTCACCCCCAAGTGGCCCAGGGAGGTTTCCTGTGCCTTCTCCCGGCCACAGAAGTGGTCCCCCAGAGCCTCAGAGGAGTCGAATGCCTCCCCCGAGGCCCGACGTGGGCTCAAAGCCTGATAGCATTCCCCCTCCAGTTCCCAATACACCAAGACCCATTCAATCAAGTCTTCACAACCGGGGCTCCCTACCAGTGCCTGGGGCCCCCAGGCAGCCCAGTCCTGGGCCCACCCCTCCCCCCTTCCCTGGAAACCGAGGTGCTGCTTTTGGAGGAGGCTCCGTCCGCCAGACACCCTCCAGCTCCTCCTCGCCCTTCTCCAACAGGCCTCCCCTGCCCCCGACCCCCAGCAGGGCCTTGGAGGACAAACCCCCCCCTCCGCCTCCTCCAGTGGGCAACAGGCCCTCCATCCACAGGGAAGCGGTCCCACCGCCTCCGCCTCAGAACAGCAAGCCCCCCGTGCCTTCTACCCCGAGGCCTTCCTCCTCACAGGCCCCACCTCCACCGCCGCCACCAAGCAGGCCCGGCCCTCCTCCCCTGCCTCCAGGTTCCAGTGGCACTGATGAAACCCCAAGACTCCCACAGAGGAATTTGTCCCTTACGCCGTCTACAACCCCCTTACCTTCACCGGGACGATCAGGCCCTCTTCCTCCCCCGCCCAGTGAGAGACCCCCTCCTCCGGTGAGGGACCCACCGGGCAGATCAGGTATGTCACACCGGGGTGGAGTATGTCTTCCTACAGCCCAGCCTGTTCCGTGTCACTAATCATCGTATAAGCAAAGGGAGTTTGACAGAAGCTTAAGTAAACTCTCAGACTGCTCTAATCTCTTAAGTGACACTTACTGTGGCTGACTTCACCCCGACCTCATGTGAGCCTCTGAGGAAAGTGGGATTACAATTTCTGTCTGCATTTTAGAGATGAAGAGACTAACTTTTTTTTTTTAAGATTTTATTTATTTATTTGAGAGAGAGGGAGAGAGATTATGAGTAAGTGGGGCGGGGAAGAGCAGAGTGAGAGGGAGAAGCAGACTCCACACTGAACAAGGAGCCCAACTGTGGGACTCGATCCCAGGACCCTGGAATCACGACCTGAGCCGAAGGCAGATGCTTAACCTACTGAGCCACCCAGACACCCTGACTAACTTATAAAGGCAAATGATCACCAGCTAGTTAATAAGAAGAGACCAGAACTTTCACCTCCAATTCTGAAATGTGCTCGCCACACTACTGCCCTGACTTCCCTAAAGTGAATATCAGCTGTCTTAATTGGGGAACTAAATTCGCGTCTCCTGTAAGAGCATCCATTATTCCAACAAGAAGGGTAGCTATCTAAGAGCTAATGAACTTTTCTTGTACTGCTCTCTCCATCTGTCAAGCTTTGAGGCCATATCCCTAGTCATTAAAGACAAGTGTTAGAGCCCATTTTGCTGCTTGTTAACACCTTTAGCACATAAATCCCTTGGAGAATCAGATAAAGGTAGAGGCCTTGGGGGCACCTGGGTGGCTCAGTGGGTTAAGCGTCTGCCTTCAGCTCAGGTCATGATCTCAGGGTCCTGGGATCGAGCCCCGAATCGGGCTCCCCGCTCAGCAGGAAGCCTGCCTTTCCTTCTTGCACTCCCCCTGCTGTGTTCCCTCTCTCTCTCTCTCTCTCTCTCTCATTGTGTCTCTGTCAAATAATAAAATGTTTTAAAAAATTAAAAAAAAAAAAAGGTAGAGGCCTTTTGTTCCCAAAAATGCTCATAAGTACAACTCAAAATCTGCGTGCCATTTCATGGATTGAAGGCTCTGCTGCCGCTCGTCTGTGCCCCATCCCCCGGGGCTGAGAAAGCTGGATCTAAGGGAAGAACTTTGAGACTTTATGAAATGAAATGAAGTGAGAATTCCCTAGAACTTGTACTCTCTCCTAATTATAATAGGTGCTTTTTGTTTCACAGTGGTTATTGATGGGTATAGTAGAACCATCTATGTTCTTAATTTAACCTTATTATTGTTATATAAGATGCCTGGAAATGGGGTGTCTTTTTCTTTAGGAGAAGCTAACCTTTTGCCCTGTGACCACGAGAACCTAATAAACACAACTCTTTTTTTTTTTTTTTTAAGATTTTATTTATTTATTTGACAGAGAAAGGGAACACAAGCAGTGAGAGGGGCAGAGGGAGAAGCAGGCTCCCCACTGAGCAAGGAGCCCGAGGCGGGGCTTGATTCCAGGACCCTGAGATCATGACCTGAGCTGAAGGCAGACGCTTAACCAACTGAGCCACCCAGACACCCCTAAACACCACTCTTTAAATCAGTAGTCCTCAAAAGGTGACCATGGGCTAGAATCACCTGGAGAGCTTTAAAAACCATGTTGGGTCCCTTCCCCAGGGTTTCTGGTTTCATTGCTCTGGGTTACAGACTGGGCATCAAGATATCTGGAGGCTCCCCAGTGATTATAATGTGCTGCAAAGTTTGAGAAGCACTACTTCAAACTGCTCTGGCCTCAGACAGTAGGCAACAAATATAAAAAGCTAGTACCAGTCGCTTCAATCCAATCCCTACACATCATGGCATCTCATTAAGTAGTCTTCAGAGAACAAACGAGAACAGATAGTCAGATGAATGAAATGCAGTATTTTCTTCTTATCCAACAGCTAGTGGTATTCCCCCAAAGTGACTAAGCAGCAGTTTGCGTGGTTCTACCAAATGGACAAGTCAACAGGTTAAATCTTCCCCAAAACAGGACAGGCTGTGACATATAGTTGTAATGTTATTTATTTTGATTATATAAGTCTTGTCTGTTTATTATGGAAAATACAGAAAAGTATAAAGAAAACAAAAATGATCTATAATCCTACCACCACCACCCAGAAATAATCATAACATTTTTTTATTATCCTTTCAGCCTTCTTAAAATGTATGTTTTGAGAGGGGTGCCTGACTGGCTCAGTCAGTAGAGTATGCAATTCCTGATCTTGGGGTCATGAGGTCAAGCCCCACTTGGGCATAAAACTCACTTTAAAAAAAAAAAGAAAAAATAAGTAAAACGTGTGTGTGTTTATATATACATATATATATAAACATATATTTATGTTTTTACAAAATCAGTATAACGGTATACATACTGTTTGGTTATTTGCTTTTTATTTATCAATCTCATTAACATCTTCTGATAGGATTATAAACTATTCTTGTACAGCCTGACTTCTAATGGCTGCATAATATTAGATCCTACACATTTACCTTTATTCATTCAAACCATCTCTAGATTTTTACTGTTGCAGATAATGCAAGGAATATATTCTTGTAGCTAAATATTTTTGCACATTTCTGTGTATTTCCTTTGGATTAATTCCTCGAAATGGAATATTTTGGTGAGCAGGTATGCCTAGTAATCTATAAATTTCATAGGTACTTCCAAACTGACCTCTAGAAAATTCCTACCAACTTTCATTCCCACAGGATCTTATGAGAGGTCATCAAGGGCCATCTGTATTTTGAGAGGAGGACTGGCTTTATTGTTAGGAGTGTGGGCTTTAGAATTTGACATATTTGGAGTCTTGGCAAAACCTGACTTGAGGTTTTTACCCTTCCAACACCAGCAGCCTCTTCTGTGTCCCTTCACCTCTCAGGGTTGCTGTAAGAATTAAGCGAGACAAGCGCGTATAGTGGTTATCTTAATTCCTAGCTTGTAACAGCATTAAATAAATGATAGTTTGTTGCTATTATTACAAGAAGTTGAAATCTGAGGGTGCCTGGGTGGCTCAGTCAGTTCAGCATCTGTTTCTTGCTTGCGGCTTGGGTCATGTTCTCAGGCTTGTGAGATCGAGCCCCGCACTGGGCTTCCTGCTCAGTGGGGGAACGTGCTTGAGATTCTCCCTCTCCCTTTCCCCTTAGAGAGTTCTGCAAACTCTCTGTCTCAAAAGAAAAAAAAAAAAAGTGTAATCTGCTTTCTTATCTATTATGCTTGCCTAGGTTTGGAGCAGGGGTCCTGGAAGGTTCAAGAGTTAGGAGTATGAACATTTACTTGAAGAGAGAGAGAGAAAGAGAGAGCAAGTCGATCAGGCCCCATAATACTCGAAGTCTAGTTCGCGCTTGGTGACAGCTGTGCGCTGGTAGTACCAGTGAAATTAACCCACAGCATGTGAGATACTTTCCCCCCAGTAAATCAGCTCCTCCCGACTGGGAGCCCAGCAATGGCAAACAGATGGGGCAATAAATAAACCCTACCAGAAGAAGCACTGAAGACTCCTTGAGAGACCAACCACCCAGGGCCGGACATGCCTCTCACCTCCATCAGCTGTCTGGGCCAAGACTTCCAGGCAGGGATACATGCGATGGGTGGGTTGTTCAGTTTAAGGTCCTTTAGGTGGATTCTGAATCTGTAGTTAATAAAAGACATTTATATTTATAGTACCATAAGATGTTGTATTTACATAAAATGTCAGCATCTTGCAAGAGAAGCACACTGCTGAAGACCAGGAATAATTACTAAGGCCATTTTGATTTGCATGGGAAGATTCAAGTTCTTTTTTTTTTTTTTTTTAATTTACTTATAATCTAAATAGCCTCTGAATTTGGAAGATGGGACAAGGAGGACAGGTTTCTTTTGTATTATCAAAAAGAATTTCCTTTTTTTTTTTAGGAACTTAAACATTTCTAATTATACCATACCATTGCAATTTTTTTAAAGATTTTTTTATTTTATTTATTTGACAGAGAGAGAGATCACAAGCAGGCAGAGAGGCAGGCAGAGAAAGGGGGTAAGCAGGCTCCCCACTGAGCAGAAAGCCCGATGTGGGGCTCGATCCCAGGACCCTGAGATCATGACCTGAGCCAAAGGCAGAGGCTTAACCCACTGAACCCCTACCATTGCAATTTTTTTAAAATGGTTTCGGAGACTTAAATTGTACTTTTTATTTGCTTTTTAGCTACTTATTCCTGGCAAGAGTGCTGTGAGATGACTCTCTTGTACTCTTTTGTATATAGAGAGTTTCGTTCCATGTGGTAAACCAGCTTGTTCAGGGTCAGGATCAGAGTACACAGCCGTGCACACTGACTAATCCGCCTCCCCAAAGAGGAAGAACCAAAAAGGAACTCCTGCCAATCTCAGCACGATTGATAGTTGGTTTCCTGATGCTGCTTCTGCCTAGAAACAGATCGCATGCATCACAGAAGCATGCTTGTGTAATTAGCAACACTACCGTGCATTTAAAGAGCCTAGTCCCTCTGAAGACCTAAAATAACTTCATAACTAGCTTCTTCTTTTTTTTTAAATTCTTTTTCTAAATGGCATTTATTCCTAAGTATCATATCACAGTAATTCAGTAGCTAATTAAGAGGATTATAAAATGTTTTTAAAAGGATATAGTTGTCAGTATAAACAGATTATCACCTGTTCTCAACCTAACCGTATCATCTCTAATCTCAGTACAACCAAAGCCAAGACAGCCATTTAGCTATTGATATCAACATGTGTACATATGTGTAGTTCTGTGTTTATCTGTACTTATTCCTTGCTTGGCTAAATCTCCTAGAAAGTTTCCACTATTTCTCCATAAGCTCTAATTATAGGGCATACATCCAGCAGGTGCTCAATAACTGCACGTTGACATGATAATAGTAATGTAGGATGTAAGATACTGCCCTAAATGTTGTCTTTTTTTTTTTTTTTTTTTTTCTGTCCCAGGCCCTCTCCCACCACCCCCTCCAATAAGCAGAAACGGCAGCACATCTCGGGCCCTGCCTGCCACCCCCCAGTTGCCTTCCAGGAGTGGAGTAGATAGTCCCAGGAGTGGACCCAGGCCTCCTCTTCCTCCTGACAGGCCTGGTGCCGGGGCACCTCCCCCACCTCCACCATCAACATCGATTAGGAATGGCTTCCAAGACTCTTCAGGAGAAGGTGAGGTGGGGTCTATCCTCTGGGGAAGGGACCTTGGGAATATTTTCAAGCTACAGGGCACCCACTAAATGGTAAATTTGTGTGCGTTGTGTGTTTGCATTAACATTTCTTGTTTCTATGACCCTCGAACACTGCACTGCTCTGATCTAAGTATCTATCCATTAGAGACTGCCATGATTTCAAATTCAAAGTAGTAATCCCACCTCCTCCACTTTTCAAAAAGGCTGATTGTTTTCCTCTCTCACTGTTGGAGTCTCATTTTAGTTAACTTTCTAGAAGATTCCAGAACCCTAAAAAAATGTCATTTTTGTCGTTTATCTTCTTATTACCTACCTTACCTGCCTTTCTCAACAGTTTGCTGGGGCAAGAGGCCTGATGATCTACAGGTATTAAGCGGCTTTCCTCTGCCTTTTTTTATTAGAGGGTCCAGTTATTCCTGGGCCCGTTGGTGGGAAGAAAGGTATCTCAGACTTTAGCCCCCAGCTCCTAAGAGGGACCGGCTGAGTCCTAATCACGCTAGTTCAAGTCACTTAGATCTGTCTTTGCTTTGATTCACAGACTAGCGTATTTCACTGATGCGCTGATCAGTAACATTTGTTGCATTTCTGGGTTTTCTCTAAACTTCTAGGCATAAAACTAGAAGTGCTCTCTGCAGCTCTCTGTGTCCTTTCATTATGTAAGTCTCCGTAGCAGATTGTTACTGAAGATGCTGTTTGTTTCTCTCCCTCAGATGAGTGGGAAAGCAGATTCTACTTCCATCCCATTTCTGACTTGCCACCTCCAGAGCCATATGTACCAACAGCCAAAAGTTATCCCAGTAAACTGGCAAGAAGTGAATCCCGGAGTGAGTATTTCTACAAGGGCTTCAGGTGGCGTCATTCTACTATAGCCTGGGTTGTATACGAGAGAGGGTTATATAGGAAATCCAGGCCTCCTGCCTGGAGTGGGTCAGAGAACCCCATATGGAGCCATCTAAATTCTGGTTAACTGTCCAAGTGATGAGGAAAATGGGGATACCCAGAATATATATGAGAAACGATTACTTTAACGTGTCATCACAAGCTCAATGTAACTTTGGTTTGCTAATAGGTTAAATTGTATTGCTTTGCTTGTTTGGACAGAATTCCCCATTTTGGCATTCCTGAGATAGGACAAATGTCTTCTACTTGTTTTGAGACTAGTCAGATGTCTTAATAATTATAACAAAAACTCACTGCAACTGCCTTGATATTTTAGATACATTATGATCAGGGGCACCTGGCTGGGTCAGTCAGTGGAACAGGCGACTCTGGATCTCAGGGTTGTGAGTTTGAGCCCCACCTAGAGTGCAGACATTACTTAAAAAAATAAAATATTAAAATAATAATAATAAAGTCATAAATATATGATGATTATAGATTTTAGAGCATTACATGAAAATTTTAAATATACCCATAATCTCTCCATATAATCTCCATAAAATCACCACATATATTCATTTTACCAGGTTCTCTGCTCATTTTTAATCCATATAATTCTTATTGATTTATCATTATTAAGTGTAGAGTGTACTTTCTTGATGGTGGGGTTTACATAACTTTGCTTAGTAAAATACCTTCCCATTTTATCACATGATTTTTATTTTATAGTATCCCATCAAGTCGACATACAGTGATTTAGTTTACCATTATTGGACATTTAGATTTTTTCTGGGTTTTGCTAAAATATATAATGCAACCATAAAGAAGAGAATCACTTTTCCTCTATTGAAACAAAAATGGGAACAAGAAGAGGAAATAGAGAAACTGAAATTTCATGACAATAAGTGGTTAGAACAAAGAAAAAATCGGCACAAAACACACATAGTTCACTGAGGAGGCTCAGACTTGTAACAGCTTTAAATTTAGAACCCAATTCCCAAACCAGAAATTGGGGGGGCGGGATTTGCACATGTCGGGTAGCTGTCCCTAGCCTTGTCCTCACTCCTTAGGCAGAGCTCCGTACACCTACTCAAGAGTCTCCTGACTCTGTAGCGCCCAGTTCTTCAATCCTTTGTGGCTGGATGTTTCCCAGCCATAGAGCATAGAATCATAGCTGCTTCAGTTAAGGCTGGTGAGAAGCAAAATTATTGGCTTCAGGGAGATGTGACAGGTGGCAGTCTCAGGTCAAAGAGACAGGGATACGGGACTGTACTCTGTATCACAGCACGGGACAACACAGGAGTTTCTGTTGGGCTGTGAGGACCAGGTCACATTGTACTCTGTGCCACTCCTGAAGAATTCAGAACATTAGAAGATGTTTTAAGAAAAATTTCCACAAACAAATGCCAGAAGGAAACAGAGTATTGCTGCTTGAAAGGAAAAGGGAAAAGTTTAATTTCTAGAGAAACTAATTTATGTAAAATACTCCATTTCTAGATGATGGCTGATAAAAAAAAAAAAGGTATAACTATAATAAGATTATACAAGAGTGAAAAGTAAGTCTTCACATGGGACAGATAGCTTCAAGGGTGTGTGTGTGTGTGTGTGTATGATGAAGAGGGGCTTCTGTCTCTTCCTTTTTGGGCACTAACAAATGAATTCACTTTAAGGACTTGTTCATATGGACTCTAAATATTTTTCCTGGTTTCTTATAAGCATTCTTAATCTATTGTAAGTACTCTTTGCATATTTAAATCAGTAACAGAACCATCCCCCCTCCTCTAGATTTTTAACTTCATAGCTGAACAGATTCCCTTCCCCACCCTGCTGTCTCTAAGACTAAAGGCAACTCGAGGACAGGAACTGTCCTCTCACTACTCCATCTTCCTCAGGTGGCCCCAAACCTGAAATATGGTGGGCATTTAAATATATTTCTGAAACTGATGAATTAATGTCCACTGTACCCAAAAATGTTTTTGTAGACTTGCTTTAAATATTTCTAGCACTCTGTGTGTTTAATAGATCATCTCTGTAACAAAACTAAAGTACTGTCGAGTGGTTTTGCTCTGCTTCTGTAGCTGCCTGGGCCTCTGGGTGGGGCGCCCGCCTGGCGGGGCCCCCAGGCAGCCCCAGGCCCTGCTGTCTCACTGCAGCTCTGCACGGGGCAGCCTGCATGGTGCCGACCGCTGACGGTACGTCAGCCATGGTCAAGGCCCCACAACACACGACTGGTTTCTATCCAGATGCGTCTCTCTTTAGCTGTGGGACCCAGAAAAGACGCGGTTGGGGTGGCAAGAGGAAGAGGCAAGGTAACAAGCTGACAGTGTCTTCCTCTAACTCCTCCCCTTGCTCAGAGCTTTTGTTCTGTCTCAGAAATCCCTGTTGGGATACCTCCTGAAGAATCTGTCAGTGCCAGCCCACTTCTGAGTTCCCCCAGAGCAGCAGCCACAATGGACCCACTCAGCTGACATGTGTCCCTGCTAGATCTGCTCACAGTGTCTGAGCACCTGGCTTCATGCCTAAAACCTGTTAGAGCCTCAAAAGAAATGATGTGGGGCAAATGAATTTAAAAAACTGTGAATGGATTTTAAACCCAGTACTCATACCCATGAATATGCGTAGTTTTTAAAAGAATACTATCAACAGAGCAGAGAGACAACTACGAAATGGAATAAAATATTTGCAAGTCATATATCTGATCAAAAAGTTATATCCAGAATATATAAAGAATTCCTGTGATTCAACAACAAAAACCCAATTTTTAAAATGGGTTGATTACTTGCATAGATGTTTCTCTGAGGAAGATATCCATATTGCCAAAAAAGCACATGAAAAGATGCTCGCTATCACTCATCATTAAAGGAATACACACAGAACTACAATGAAATACAGCGTCACAGCCATTAGGACGGTTACTCTCAAAAAAGCATTGTTGAGAAACTAGAAGATACCTAAATGTCCAACAAAAAGGAATTGATTAGATAAATACAGCATACTTACGTAATAGAATATAATGTGTTATTTATAATTTTATGTATCAACAATAACAGCTCTGAAAAATGTTCAGACCGACAATATATGATCCTATTTGGGGAAGAAAAAAGAGAGCTGTTTATATATAGAAGATAAATGGAAAGTATTTACATCATGTTATTGGTTATCTCTGGGTGGTACAGGCATTGGTGAGTTTCTGTTTTGTTTTAGCTCATCCATATTTTTTTAAAAAGATTTATTTATTTGACAGACAGATCACAAGTAGGCAGAGGCAGACAGAGAGAGAGGGAGGGAAGCAGGCTCCCCGCTGAGCAGAGAGCCCGATGCAGGGCTTGATCCCAGGATCCTGAGATCATGACCAGAGCTGAAGGCAGAGGCTTTAACCCACTGAGCCACCCAGGCGCGCCCCCCATCCATATTTTCCAAATCTGTAATAAACACATACTATGTGGTAAGAAGAAAACTAATTTTTTAAAAATTTTCTTAACTTTGGGTAAGTACTTGGGAGCCAGTGGTGGGTCATCTGTCTCTAGAAATGTTCAGTCACATCCTTCCTGGCTTGCCTTCATTTCTTACTTCTCATCCACGTGTGCCTGTTCTTCACAGCCTTGGTCATAGAGGGTGACACAGTGGGTACTTTTGTGACCATCCTTTAGTTTGTACAGTGAGGTCATAAGCTTTCTAACCAAAATTTATATTTTGTCTATTTGTTCATCAAGGTGGATCCAACCGAAGAGAAAGGGGTGCCCCACCACTTCCTCCCATCCCAAGGTGATCTTTGCCTGCTCTTCTCCAGCCGAGCCCGGGAGCTCCTTCTGTTGTTGTTCTCCAAGGGTGCAAAACCCTCCTCCCCTGTCTTCACTTGTCCCCTTCGTACTGGCAGTAGGGAAAGGGAGGGTGATGTGGGAATATGTGTGCGGGGGTGGGAATGCAGTAAAGAAACGCACCTAGCTTTTTACATTGTGTATATTCTCAGAGCTCTTGCCCGCTTCAGCTACAGCCTGCTGGTGCTGGCTGCTCGGGGGTCAGGAGGCTCTTGTGGCGAGGTGGCAGACAGGCACTGTGTCCTAGCTTTCAACCAACCAAGTTCAAACATTCAGTGCTGATTTGCTACAGACTCTAACATTAAAGTCCCTGAGAGCTATTTGCTTCCATGACGTTTTTGCATGCTTGGCTTTTTGTCTGATTCCAGGAACCACAGTCCACCTAAGCAAGTTGCGGCACTCAGGGCTCACATAAAATTTTTCAGTTACAGGATGTCCAATCTTTGGCAGTCTGAGATAAGCCCTAGGACAGAGCTGTCCAACAGAAATACAGTGTGAGCCACATATAACGGTGTTTGAATTTCTAGTAGCTACCTTAAAAAAGGAAAATAGGTGAAATTAATTTTAATATATTTTATTTAGCCCTAATACCCAAATTATTACCATTTCAACCTGCAATCAGTGTAATAATTATTAATGAGCTATTTCACATTCTGTTTTGGTACCAAGTCTTCAAAATCCCATGCATATCCTACATTGATTGAGAGCACATTCCCCATTCAGACTAGTCGCATCTCAAGGGCTCAACAGCCCTCTGTGGCCGGTGGCTACCATGTTCGGGCAGCACAGGTCTAGAAGATGCAGACTAGTGCAAAATCTCTTGTTTCAAAAACAAAAAAGGCAAGATGAATTTTAGTGATTCAAAAAGTAACTAAAAATCAAGTTAGGACCAAACACCTTGTTCAACAGATAGCTTGACCTTCGATTTTGTTCCCCTATTTCCCGTCTTTCCTTGATGTGTATATCTAGGTGTTGCTTCAAAGTACCAAGGTCAGAAATTGATCTAACAGGGTTTACAGTCACGTGGAATAAAGCCATTAGAAGGAAATTGAAAGCCAGCCAAGGCTTGGGGACTCAGAGCCCGCTGCCTTGAGCTAACTGTCCATTGGACCCCTGCCTTGCCTTCATTTCCTCTGCTGCCCAGCATGCATCTCTGAGCGGGGGAGGCTCGCAGGCTCTGTAACTGTGGGGGAAAGTCAGGAAAAGGTAGCCAATTGGAAACGTGGAAGAAGGAAGCAGGTTTGAGTTGATGGACAAAACTCTAAACATCTAAATCTGATGTTTAAGGGGGGTTGAGAGAGATTGCTACAACAAATTGAAGAGAATTTGTCTTGACTCCATTGGGAGAATCCCTTGCCTTGGATCTATGCAAATCAAGCTCCGTGAAAGGACCATAGGAATGAGCCAGGCTTGCCCTTTTTTTGTATGATTTTGTTTACAAAACTTTACTGGGACTTTTAAATCTAGCTATAGATTTGGGGGGAAATTTTTCCATTTTATATGGTTTTATATGGTTGATTATGTTTAAAATTACCATTACTTATTTTTTAAAAGCACACAGCCACATATGTATATGTATACTTAAACTTTGTGTCATGGTTTCAGTGTATTGTTCATGGATTACCAGGAGATGCTAACAAGAAATCAATCCAAAGAAAAATTTGAAAGAAGGATTCCTATTTATAGAATAAATAATTATTTCATTTATATAAAAGCAAAAGAACTTAGAGTTCTAATAAATGGGATAGCTAATAAATTATGAAGTTGCCCATTTGGATATATTGTATTTTTATAACTTTCCTTGCCAAAGTCCTGGGCTTAGTATGTTAGAGAACTTGGTTTTTTCCCCTCTCCTCTACCATTCATCTGTCTTTCATATAGTTATTTGGGGCCCTTTGCCCAAAGGGAATCAAGAAATATAAAGGTATAACAAACTTGGCTAAGTATTTTCCAAAAAGAATGTTTCAGGTTTTATAGCAGCATCATTTTATTTGGGATTCTTTGAGCAGATATGAATGGTTGTTACAAATCGCTATGATAAAGCCTAACAAGCCACCTCGCAAAAGATGCGATCTGGCCTTCCTAGCAAATGGTGGCAGGGAAGTCTCATCCAACGAATTTGGATCTGAATTTTGTGAGGGCTAGTAAGCATGGTCAGTTTCTTTGTACATCCCAGCTTTGTAGGTATCATCCTAAAGTCTGAAACAGTCATAGCTCAAAGTTGCTCTTCATCCAGGAGAGAGAAGTTTTAGGATGTATTTAAGTCAGTGTTTCATTAATACACCTATACCCTTTCTTTGAAAGTTGGCAACCTAATTGCATCCAAAACTGAATAATCTCTATGCTAAAATCTTCAACTATGGCAAATCACAAAAATGAATATTTTCTTCCTGAAATCAGGGCTTACATTTGGGTTTTTTTTTTCCATAATATTTCCAGATAAATGTATTCAAGATGCAATACAGTATTTTAATATTCACATATCATTTTATATTGAAATGTGTTACAGTATTAAAATTCAATGTTCCATATTTATTTCACTATGCATTTTATTTAGTAGAAACCAAGAAAAATGTTTAATCCAATGGTGCCTTACTTTGTGATTTGAAAGAAATAGACTTTTTATGTCTAAGCAGCAGATTATTTGCATATTTGTAAAAACTTAGGCCTTTATATTTTAACTTGTAATACCAATTTTGTTATTTTAGTAGCAGAAATGGGATGGTTGTTAAAGCGCCCAACATTTTTTGGCACAAAATTAATTTTTCCCTGTTTGTAGTCAGGGACAGTAAAAGAAAACAAATGTTTTTCATACCACTGCACTATGTAAACATGCACATTTTGGAATCTATATCATCAGGACAGTTTAAATGGTGGGGTAAAGACTACCCTAGACATCTGTGTCTTTGTAAGTTAGCCAGACAATAAATAAAAGCAGAGTGATAAGAGTGTCAACTGGTGGTTTTTATTTAAGTATTGTCTAGTAAATGCAAATGAAAAGGCAAGTGTCTGTTTTCTGTTTTCTACTCTGGTAAAGAAAGACAAGCTCTGGGGAACCTGGGTGGCTCAGTGGGTTAAGCTTCTGCCTTCGGCTCAGGTCATGATCCCAGGGTCCTGGGATCGAGCCCCACATCAGGCTCTCTGCTTGGCAGGGAGCCTGCTTCCTCCTCTCTCACTGCCTGCCTCTCTGCCCACTTGTGATCTCTGTCTGTCAAATAAATAAATAAAATCTTAAAAAAAAAAAAAAGAAAGAAAGAAAGACAAGCTCACAGCAAAGAAAAAGAGGAGGAGGTGGCAGCAATCCATAGTGAGGATTCCTCACACCCACTTTCTAGTCCCTTGTTTGTTTTTCCTGAGAACCTGTGTCCTAGTCAGAGTCTGCTGTCTGTTTCCCTCAGGCAGATGCTTCTACTCTAAGGTAAAGATGGATGGTGGGAACAATGGGCAAGAAAACTTCCAGGATGAGCACTGACACTGATAAATACAGGAAAGGCCAATGGGAATTTAGGAGGCCTGATAATTTTTTAAATGATCTGCTGTGCATGCTGGAATGTGTACATATCTTTTTTTTTTAAGATTTTATTTATTTATTTGACAGAGATCACAAGTAGGCAGAGAGGCAGGCAGAGAGAGAGAGAAACAGGCTCCCCACTGAGCAGAGAGCCCGATGCGGGGCTTGATACAAGGACCCAGGACCCTAGGATCATGACCTGAGCTGAAGGCAGAGGCTTTAAACCACTGAGCCACCCAGGCGCCCCCGTATACATATGTTAATACAGCATACCGGCTAAGAGATTAGGAAGACCTGCCCCCACCTCTTACCAAGTTGCAACTTCTCTGAGCTTCAGCTTCCTTATCTGCAAGGTAAGTAACTATCTCACAACATTAACAAATGCATTAAATGAGATAATGCAACAAATGGCCAACAGACACGTGAAAATTGCTCCACATCACTCGGCATCAGGGAAACACAAATCAAAACCACAGTGAGATGCCACCTCACACCCATCAGAATGGCTGAAATTAACCGGTCAGGAAATGACAGGTGCCAAGGATGTGGAGAAAGGGGAACCCTCCTACACTGTTGGTGGGAATGCAAGCTGGTGCAGCCACTCTGAAACAGTATGGAGCTTCCTCATAAAGTTGAAAATAGAGCTACCCTACAACCCAGCAATCGCACTACTGGGTATTTACCCTAAAGATACAAATGTAGTGATCTGAAGGGGCACGTGCACCCCAATGTTCATAGCAGCAATGTCCACAACAGGCAAACTATGGAAAAAGCCCAGATGCCCATCGACAGATGAATGGATAAAGAAGATGTGGTATATAGATACAATGGAATACTACCCAGCGATCAAAAAAAAAAAAAAATCTTGCCATTTGCAATGATGTGGGTGGAACTAGAGCGTATTACACTAAGCAAAATAAGTCAATCAGAGAAAGACAATTATCATATGATCTCACTCATATGTGGATCATGAGGGAAAAATAAAACAAGATGAAATCAGAGAGGAAGACAAACCAGAAGAGGCTCTTAATCACAGCAAACAAACTGAGGTTGGCTGGAGAGTGGGGAGAGGGACGGGGTAACTGGGTGATGGACACTAAGGAGGGCACGTGATGTAATGAGGACTGGGTATTATATAAGGCTGATGCATCACTGACCTCTACCTCTGAAACTAGTAATACATTATGTGTTCATTAACTGAATTTAAGTTTTTAAAAAATGAGATCATGCACTCAGTATTTAGCCTGACTTACTGTAGCACTCAATAAATGATAGCCAATCTGAGTAAAAGCAGGCAACATATTTATCTAATGATCCCAGATTAACTGGAGCCAAACTGACTGGAAGGGAATTTCCTAGTGTACTTGTAGAGGAACGAAGCAACAGCAGGCAGGCTCTCCATATCAGAAATGCAAAGTAATCTCCACACAAAGATCACCTCACATGATGTCAGTCCCTTATACCTCGTAGGTCTGGAAAATGAAAATTCGTGCTGCTTTAGTCGTCAGAGAATTATTAGATTCCATTTGAAATCACAAAAAGACCTGGAAAGAACCTTCTATATAGGGCCGCTAATAATTATTGCTTTGGCACAATGGTGCAAATCGGAGCAAACTGGGCTGGGTCACACCACTGGCAGGTCACCTAGACCCACGTCCTGGTCTGACAGATGAGTAATGTAAGACCGCAAGTCACAGAGCACCGACAAGCAGCATGCTGGTCACCTCACCACACTCCCTTCTTGACAATCCTTTCCACCTCTAGCATAAGTCTTGGCTTCCTTTGTCTTTCCCATCTGGTGGAAAGAAAAGGCCAAATGACACGTCCCAGAGTCAGAGGACAAGCCCAGGACACACAAACCTGGATCTGAATCCAAGCTCTGCCACTTGCTCCCTGTAAGGCCACGGACAAGGTGTTTTAAGCTCTTTGGGCTTAAGCCGCCTCAACTACAAAATGGTTCCAGAGCTTAAATAAATAGAACATCAGGCAAAATAACAGGCATAGGCCAGGCGCTCAGTGAAAGTTCCTTCCATTCTATTTCCTAATCCCCTCACCATCAAACCCAGGCCATATTCAGGAAGGAATTTTCAGTGCATTCAGAAGCTTTTGGTACAACTGAATTACGACAGTCTTAGTAATAAAAATTGCTTTCAAAACTGGCCTCATTTGTTCAAACTGGAGTCATTTGTCTCATTCATCCATTCAATAAATTTTTATTGAGCAGTTACCACACCACACCTCACCACAATCAAACCAGTGTCCCCCCCCCCCCTCTGTCAAACAGTCTCTAGGTGGCAGTTAAGGACGCAGCCCCCTGCTCCCACCAGGCACAGGTGCCCAAGTGACAGAGAGCTTTCTATTAAGAAAGGAAAGGGAATATGTTATAATCCACCCCCCACTTGAGGAATTATTTGGTTTGTTTTTATTCTTTTATCTCAATGGGTGAATTAAATTGCCTTTTTTCCCTAGGGGCACTTGGGTGGCTCAGTTGCTAAGCATCTGCCTTCCGCTCAGGTCATGATCCCAGGGTCCTGGGATTGAGCCCCACATCAGGCTCTTGGCTCAGCAGAGAGTCTGCTTCTCTCTCTCTCTCTCATAAATAAAAAATCTTAAAAAATTTTTTAAACCTACATGAAAACTGGGGGCGGGGGAGTACTTAGAAAAAGTTTTGATGGCCAATAAATAATGTCTTTTTGTTTTTTAATGTGTAAAATAAACTCAAGGATTCCCCGTTTCCTGACATCCCAATTCTAACTGAAGGCTTCTTGGGACACATGATTTAGAGTGGCCCCTTCTCTCTGTCTTCCTCACAGCCTTGCTTCCCTGCACTCTGAGCCCTTGATCCTCTGTGTCCGTCTCTAGAGCTATGGTCAGCTGCAGGTTTCCCCCACTACCCGAAAGCAGAGCACGCCTATGAAAACTTTCCTAAGCCGAAATGGCCTAAAGCAAAGAAACAATTACCAGTAACTTATCTGGAAAAATATTAAGCATTCTCAGACCCCAAAAATAACCTCTCTTAGGCTTTTCTGGTACCTGAGGACACTTCTTGCTAATGGCTGCACAAAATAAATGGTGATGAAACACAAATGCTCTCAGACACAGTTGAAAGCTCCAGTGGCTTGCTGCTGAGATGTGGAGTGTGGTTCCAGGAGAAGGAGCTTGGCGGGGCCACTCTCACTGTTTTGGGGTGTGCACTGCTTTTACAATGGATTGCAGCAAAACAAACACAGGCTATTTTCACATTTTGCCCTTTTTTTCCTAAAAGCAAAAATCTTCAGATTTCTTTCGGTTAACAAAAACAGGTAGTAATGTAGTTCTTTCGTAAAAGTGAAGTGGTCTAATGCAAATTTCTGGAAATCGGGAGATGCCTGTATATGTTTCTCTTACTGGTAAGTGTTTGGAAATGCCCCGTCCATCAACATTCTCTCACAAATTCCTTAGTCTTAAAATTCTTCTCCTAATATTCCAGAGCCACATTTACAGGTAGCCAACGGAGCTCAAGCTTTGGGACCTCCACTTACGAGGATCCCTTCCAATAAGTACTCATTTTTACATCAAAGTTTATGTTATTTAGGATTTTATATTAACTTCCTTAATGTAGCACCTAAATTGTCTAAAGCTTCAGGCCTCACATAATCTGTCCTTGTAGGGCGCCTGGATGGCTCAGATGGTTACTCATCTGCCTTTGGCTCAGGTCATGATCCCAGGGTCCTGGGATGGAGTCACACAGCCCCACCTCGGGCTCGCTGCTCAGGGGTGGGGAGTCTGCTTCTCTCTCTGCCCCTCCCCACCTCCGCTCATGCATGTGTGCTCTTTCTCTCTCTCTCTCATGCACAAGTATATAAATAAATGTTTTTTAAGAAAAATAAAACGGGTCCTTGTATTATTGCCCTTCCCAGCTTCTGATACAGAAACCAACCACAGTAGGTATCTTAAAAACTTTCTTAAGCCACCAGCTTTCCATAAGAGTGATAGGACAGTCCCAGACCAATATAAGACAGCAGAAGTGTTTGCTCTTTTGTACTCCCAGAGTGGCCTACAGACAGTTCTAAAATAATTCAGTTCAGTCACTACACTGCCCACATTGTGTTAGCATCAGTTAAAGGCCCCACAGTGTGACCTACCCAGATAACATGTCTGACCCCTGAGGGGCCTGGGAAACAAGTCTGGATGTTATTAGACATCAAGCTCAAATTTAGCTTAAATCTTGACCAGGAAGATTCCTGCCAGAACACCTGACATATCTATCAACATAAATGTGTTTTAGTCATGAGAAACTCCCACCCTTTTCCTGTTTTTTGTCTCCAAGCAATTGAGTAAGTTAAAGGTCACCTGTCAAAATATAATCTATTTAAGATAGGTACCTGAAACAAACAGCAGCAGACGACTGGGAAAAGCTAATGCTTTATGGAGCTATTGTATTCCCAAGGTTCATTTTTACATT